TTTGGCTACGCCGCATCTTTACTAAGCATAAAGATATTGTTTTTTGTTGGGTCCCTGGTCATTTGACGTACAGGGCAATGAACAGGCAGACACTGCTGCGCGGTCAGCAGTACATGACCTACCAGTTTCTTATAGAGGTATTCCATGTACGGACTATTTTGCTGTAATATCTTCCCACCTTCACACCCGTTGGCAACAACGTTGGTCTACTATGCTCGGCAACAAACTTCAGTCGATTAAAACCGAGTATAGGTTACTGGCCGTCTTCTTATCACCAGTGTCGAGGTTGGGAGACTACTCTCTCCCGTCTTCGCATTGGCCATACTCGTCTTACTCATGGATATCTCATGGAGAGGCGTCTTGCTCCTCTCTGTGAGAATTGCCAAGCTCCATTATCAGTCAGCCACATTCTGTTGGACTGCCCACTTTATCAACGAGCACGCAGAATTTACCTCTGTCGTCGTCTTCGCCCCGCTGCTCTCTCTTTACCTTCCCTTCTCGCTGATGGACCCACCTTTCATCCGGACTCTCTTATTGACTTTTTGACAACGACTGACTTACTTCACAAATTCTGATACTTTCAGCCCTTTCTACTTGTATCTCTTGCTACCCTTACCCCCGTACTATCCCCTCCCCCGCTGTTTTCTGTAACCTGCTGATCATCCCCCTCCCTCCTGCATCCAATTCCCTTGTTTTCCTTCCCTACCCTGCAGCGCTGTATAGCCCTTGTGGCTTAGCGCTTCTTTTTGATTATAATAATAATAATGGTGGAAAATTGACGAAATTATGCTCTCGCGAATTTTGATGTGTCAGCGATATTTACGAGTCGGCGATTTTGCCGACTTTGACTCCCATTTTAGGCCAATTACATTATTCCAATCAACCAATTCTTAGCTATTTCACTAGTATTACTTCTATTCTATCGATTGAGCACAAGAAATCGCCAAATCAACTGTTTCAACTACAAAATAAAGTGATCGGAAATTGTTAATTTGGCCAATTTAACACAAAGTTCAAAATATTCCAATTTCAAAATAGGCTCCAGAATAAACAATGTAGGTATTCCTGGAACTAAACTAACATTTCCTCTGTTCATTAGTTACATTTTGAGGCTTTACAAATAAATTCCATTTTGATTTTTTATTCACATAGTGAATTTTTATTCACACCAAAAAATAGAAGATTTACTGTTATGCAATACTGTAATAATTGTATAATATCATCACCATATTTGTGAATGTATATTAGACCCACCAGCTGATGTGTATTAGATGTGTGAGGTCGTTTGTTTACTCTTGAATATCGGCAAAAATTTAACATTTCCGCTACTTTGAGCTCAGTTAAAGCTTTCCAGTGTTTAAAACCAATCAAAATCATCTCTATTTCTGTAATATGTCTTAAATTCTATCAAATGAGACCAAGAAATCGCAAATTACAATTATAAAAAACATACGAAAAACACTGCAAAGTCGCTGTTTTAATCGAAAAATCATGATTTCAGTTTTTTCTCTCTTATACACAGTGTGCTGCGGTTTCTGTTTTATGTGGTGCACACATACCACATAGATGTATTCTCTCATATCTAGGCCCCAAATGTACCACTGGTTTATCAGAGTGAGCTGAGCTCATGGCGTAGATCTACGGTTTGGACATCACCGTAAAGCCGTAGATCTACGGGACGGACCCTTGAAAGGGTTAAACATCGGCAAAAATTTAACATTTCTGCTACTTTGAGCTCAGTTTCAAGCATTTCCGGGTAATTAACCAATCAAAATCATCTCTGTTTCTGTAGTTATCTTCCATTCTATCAAATGAGACCAAGAAATTGCAAATACAACTATAAAAAACATACGAGAAACTGCAAATTCGTTTTTTTAATCGAAAATTACGGTCTCAGTTTTTTTCTCTCATTATGCACTATGTGTGCTGCAGGGGGTTGTTTTTGTGGTGCAAAACATACCACATAGATGTATTCTCTCATATCTATTGCCCAATTTTACTGCTCTAGCTTATCAGAGTGAGCTGAGCTCATGGTTTTGATCTACAGTTTGGACCCAAAACGTAAGCCGTAGATCTGTGGCACGGACCCTGAAAGGGTTAATGCCAAGTATGCCCCCACGTACCTGTTTATACTTTTTACCCTTTCAAATTTCCCAATATATTGTATGTCGCTTTTCTGTCTACCATGTTCAGCTGTACTCTGATGTCATCAGGTCAGTTCTTTAGCCTTCCTCAAAAACTCAATACCCTTAACTTTGAGACCAGTCTAGTTGCACATCACTGCTCTTTATAAAATTTTTTTTAGCATGCTTTTTCTTGAATGATTTTTTTGATTTTCCCTGAAGGCTAACCTTGGATTTGCCAGATGATCAGTGGCTGTAAAACTTATTCAGTTGATATGTGCTGCTAGTGATATGCTTAGCAATATGCTCACTCCTGGGTCTAAAAGTGAGGTCTGCAGTCTCTGTCCCCTGAATCTGTACTCTGTATTGGTCTTCTTACCCTTCCCCAATCTTCAAAGCAGTGCACTTGGTGGGATTGAATTATCTCAGTTTGTCCAGATCCATTTGTAGCCTTTCCTTGCCCTCATTGGGTTTTACCGTCATTGTATATCGTCAGCAAATAGAAATGCATCTGACTCAGTCCCATCTGATATTTTCATTACATATATCAGAAACAGTATTGGTTTAAACATGGGTATATTTATTGCCAAAACGTTTTGCTTGTACAACAGGTTGCCTCAGTTGGATAAAGGTGAATGCAACACTGGAAGCGGTAGATATAGTATCGGTGGGAGGTAATCAGTCCCTCAAGATTAAAGTATAGGCAAGAGCCAGAACTTATGTACTAAAGTATAGGTGAGATGAAGTAGGTGGGGGTCGAGGGCATGGGGGAGAGTGTGGCCCACGAGTGGTGATAGTAGGTCATGCTGAGCAGTGGTTCAGGAAAGAAGCTGCAGAAGACTTTCCCTGTACCAAGATACTATGGTGTTGCAAATGTGCCTTATATATCAACTTATTGTATACCATCAGTAATATGACACCATGATGTTGCTGTGTCAGACAAGTATCTTGGTACAGTGCAAAGTCTTTGCTAAACAATGTCACCATTATTTCTACTGCTTCCTGTGCTGCATTCACTGAGGAAGCTTGTTCAATAAGTGAAATGATTAGGCAATAAAGATATCCAAGGTTTGCAAATGTGTTTTTATTATCATAAGTGTGGTATAGTTGAATGTAAAATTATTTCTTTAATGGGAAGCAGTCAGAGATGTGCATGAAGGTAAGGTTAATTAATACAGTGCCTGCACTCTGAAGGAGTGGTGTTAATGTTGCAGTTTAAAAACTGTAGTGTAAAGCACCCTTCTGGCAAGACAGTGATGGAGCGAATGATGGTGAAAGTTTTTCTTTTTCGGGCCACCCTGCCTTGGTGGGAATCGGCCAGTGTGATAATAAAAAAAAAAAAATAATTACTTCTTGGGTACTTATTGTGGCTAAGTAAATGTAAGATTATTACTTTAGGGGTAGTTGTTGGAGTTAAGTAAATGTAAGATAATTGCTTATGTGGGTTTAGGTATCTGGGATATTGTTAGCTAGACTTATTTTATTGTTCAATAAGAACTGTTAAGTTGTTGTTTACAATACTGCAGAAGACCCTACTTCATTGTTTTCTTTTTCACAGAAAGAAAAATACCGGTGATTGTATGCGGCGAAGGAGGTGAATATGAAACATTTACTCTTGACTGCCCCATTTTCAAAAAAGCGTATAGTAGTGTGAGTAGTTCTTTGCCAATATATGATATTTTATTTGCTGTAAGTTATTGCCAGTATGTGATATTGTCATGGAAACAAAACTTCACAAGAAACTCCACTGAACCCTATTGGATGAAACAGCTCACTGTTCAGAATTATGTACACGAAGACATTGGCTTCAGCTTTCTTTGGGAGAGTGTTATGCTGTGTCAAGCTTTAACAGGTCATATTAAAGCTTTACACAGGGTGAAATCTCTCTCAGTAAAAGCATGTTCTTCAGCTTGTATCTTTGTGTTCATGCTGAACTCTCTTAGTTGTTTGTGATGCTTTGTGAAGCTTAAAGTACAGTATTAGTAAAGGTAAGGTCAGTAGTCTGGCAAGTAATATTTTAAATATTTATTGATCCCTTCACATTATCTGCTTATTTTTATTAGCTCAGTTGAAATAGAATTCCTTTTGTGTTCAGTAACTTGGTGCTGGTGAAGTGCTCTTGATACAAGGAGTTGGAGCTAGTGTTCTCATCCTCGGATAACTTGGTGCTGGTGAAGGGCTCTTGATAAAAGGAAATGGAGCTAATGTTCTCATCCTAAGATTAGTTTAGTGCTTCCCCATGAATATAATAAGAGGGAATTACAGTAGCAGGTACTTGAATGTCTGATTTATGAGGACAAACATTGGTGAAATATTTACTCTTGTAATGTTTGATGAATATTTTGTTGAAGTTATTACTGTGTACACTGACTATAAACATTAAACTGCTTTATTTGCAGTCAGGAAACAGAAATGGTGGAGACCTCTGGAGACGTTGCTTACTTGAATCTCAAGTCGTTAGAACTTGTGGATAAAGAAATTGTGAGTACTCTTACATATTGCTTTGTAATACATGTATATGTTTGAATATAATAAGTACAGTGGAATCTTGTTTTTTGCCTGTAATCCGTTCCAGAAGGCCAGCCTAAATTCGAAACGGCCTAAATTCAAAGCAGTATTTCCCATAAGAATTAATGTAAGTACAATTAATCCGTTCAAGACACCTAAAAATATTCACAAAAAAAAATAATTTTTTAAAGATTAATTATAGATTTACATACACAAGACAAGGAGAACTAAATAAAATAAATTAAGAGCATTTAAATCACTATTACATTCCTTTGTGGAGGAGAGAGGGAGGGCGGATTATTGTTTGGAAGGGGAATCCCCATCCATAAGGACTCTAGGTAACAAGTCCCTCTCTGAGGTTACTTCCCTTCTTTGTCTTTTAAGGCCACTAGGACCAACTTGAGAGTCACTCGACCCCTGTCGCACAAAATAACTGTCCAGATTGCTCAAAGTAGCGGAAATGTTCGATTTTTGCCGATGTTCAAGAGTAAACAAATCACATCGTGCATCCAGTACACATAAACTGGTGGATCTAATATGCTTTCACAAATGCTCTGATATTATTTATACCATTTTTACAATAATGCAGTAGTCTGCATAACGTTAAATCTATTTTTTTGTGTGAATAAAACTTGAAAATGGAAATCAAGTGTAATATAAGAGGGGCCAGTGACATGACTAATGAACAGAGAAAAATGTTATTTTAGTGCTAGGAATGTATGTTTAGTAAATTCTGGACCCTATTTTGAAAGTGGCCTTACTTGATTTGTGTTTGAAATTGGTAAAATTACCAGTTTCTGATCACTTTATTGGGTAGTTGAAATTGGTAAATGGGCGGTTTCTTTTAATCAATAGAACAAATGGAGTTCTAGCACAATAGCTATGAGTTTAATCAACTGGAACAATGGAATTTGCCGAAAATAGGGCTCAAATTGGGCAAAATTGCTGATGCATAAATATCGCTGAGACCACAAACTTCACGAGAGCGTAATTCTGTAAGTTTTCCATCATATTTTGTACCTTTGGTGTCATTACCATCGGGAAAAGATAATTTCATAAGAAAATTTTTTTTTTTTTTTAAATTCTTCGACACTGGTAGCATGTTTGTGAGCCGGGGTCTTGACAGTGAAAGGGTTAAAAAATTAGTTTGTGCTTCAGTAGCTTTGATGTACAGAGGACATTTGTAATCCAGATTGTTAGTCAGACTTTTTTGTGTTAAACATGTTACTCTTGTTGAATTTAGCACTGTTACTGTTGTTGAAGTTAATAGTGTTACTGTTCTTGAATTTAGCATTGTTACTGTTGTTGATTAACAGAAAGGCACAATACTGTGACTGGAACAATACACAAATAACCTGCACATCAGAGAGGAGCTTACGACGATGTTTTGGTCTGACTTGGACCATTTACAAATGGTCCAAGTCGGACCGAAACATCATCGTAAGCTCCTCTCTCCTATGTTTGGGTTATTTGTGTACTGTTGTTGAATTTAACATTGTTACTGTTGTTGAATTTAACATTGTTAATGTTGCTGAATTTAACATTGTAACTTGTTGAATTTAGCATTTTTACTGTTGTTGAATTTAGCTTTGTTAATATTACTGAATTTAGCATTGTAATATTGCTGAATTTAGCATTGTTAATATTACTGAATTTAGAATTGTTGCTGTTGTCAAATTCAGCATTGTTACTCTTGTTGAATTCAGCATTGTTACTGTTGTAGAATTTAGCATTGTTACTGTTGTTGAATTTAGCATTGTTAATACTGTTGCTGAATTTAGCATTGTTAATAATGTTAAATTTAGTATTGTTAATATTGTTAATTTAGCATTGTTAATGTTGTATTTAGTATTGTTAATAGTGTTGAATTTAATATCGTTAATATTGTTGAATTTTGTCATTGTTACCATTGCTAAATTTAGTAATGTTACTGTTGCTGAATTTAGTGAAGTTAGTGTGAAGTAGTTAATTATATAGTGATGATGATGATGTGTTTAGCCAGATGAAGTGAGCCATGTGGAGTTGGTGTCAGCTGCTGGTATACGATGTCCCGAGGACTTCCTCACTGACCTCAAACTAGCTGAGGAAGAGCAGCAAGCTGAGGACCAGGCCAAGGAGTCACATATAGAAGTTCCAGAGACCTCCATAAATAGGTATTGAATTAATTACTGTAGAAGAGTATTGTGTTCATGGCATATCATTCTAGGTAATGGTTTTACTAGGATTAATACGGGTGATTCCTATTTATGTCGTGTCACCAAAAATATGCTCTTAGTAGGGAAATTTTATGATGATGTTTCAGTAAATCCTAGAATCTCATTGTCAACAATTTCGCTCTCTATCACTAGATCTATGTTATTGATGCCCGGGTTCCTCTGGAGCTCAGCTCACTCAGATAAGCTGAAAGCCATAAATTTTGGCCTCAATATGAGAGAATGGATTTATGAGTGTACACAGTTTAAAAAAAATCCTGCCCAATGCAGTGTGTGATGGGAAAAGCAAAACTCTGACCTTGTGCTTGGTTTAGAATAGTTACTTTGAAGCATTTTTCTAGGATATTTTTTATGACTTTATTGGCTATTTCTTGATATCATTTGATAGAATGGAAGAAGAATACTGAAACAGAAATGAATTTGGTTGGTTCCAGGACAAGAAGCAGTCTGAAATTGGCCTCAAAGTAGCAGAAATATTTTAGTTTTGCTGATTTTCCTGGGGATGGGTAAGGCTTCCCTACACCCCTTGGTCTGTTTAATGGGTTTTTACTAGGTCTGATTCAGTTATTGGTACACTGTGAATCATGACCAAATAGGGTAAATCATTGATTATTTTATGTGGTGATGAATTCAAAATGGAAGGCAAGTGTAATATAGGAAATGCCTGGGGATGTGTTAAATTGTATTTTTTTTGTGTGTAATTGGTCAGATTACTGAATTCTGTGCACTTTATAAAGTAGTTTTAATAGTGAACTGGCTGGTTTTTTGTGCTTAGGCAATAGAATGGAAGGCATACTAATGAAATACAGTGGACCCTCGACTTATGTAGGAACTTATGAAGCGTTTCAGCATAAAAAGTTTTCCCCCAACCTACGAAGAAAAACTCGACTTATATCATTCATCCCAAACGCGGTATTATTCCATTGTTTTTAGTGCTTGTAACTGCTAAATAAGCTACCATGGGCCCAAAAAAAGCTTCTAGTGCCAACCCTATGGTAAAAAGGGTGAGAAATACTATCGTACCACGGTCAGCTGCTGCTGCACCACCATCAGCTGTTGCTGCACCACTGTCGGCAGCTGCTGCACCACCGCCAGCTGTACTATTCGAAGATGTGGAGAGACTGTTGTTGGTGTGGCTTAACGAGAGTCAGTTACCAAGAAACAATTAACCCCGAGGGTTAGCCACCCAGGATGACCCAAGGAAGTCAGTGTGTCATCGAGGACAATCTAACTTATTTCCATTGGGGTCCTTAATCTTGTCCCCCAAGATGTGACCCCCCACTAGTTGACTAACACCTAGGTGAACAGGAAAAAATGCCTGGAACTAGTGCTCATATTGGTGAATTTAAGGCCAGCAAAGGTTGGTTTGAGAGATTTAAGAATCGTAGTGGCATACACAGTGTGATAAGGCATGGTGAAGCTGAAAAATTCCAACCCCAGCAAGTGTTTAATTGTGACAAAACAGGCCTGTTCTGGAAGAAAATGCCAAACAGGTCCTACATTACTCGGGAAGAAAAGGCACTCCCAGGACACAAGCCTATGAAAGACAGGCTAACTCTCACGTTTTCTTGTAATGCTAGTGGGGATTGCAAAGTGAAACCTTTACTCATGTATCACTCTGAAAATCCCAGAGTGTTCAAGAAAAACAGTGTCTCATCACTCATCACTACATCTTCAATAAAGGTAACATAAGAAAATAAGAAGGAACACTGCAACAGGCCTACTGACCCATGCGGAGCAGGTCTTCCCCCCCGGATTAGCCCAATGACTCACCCAGTCTGGTTACCTCCACTCCAGGAAGGAGCACGGCACCAGACCCAGCAGCACAAGCTAGTCTGGTCAGTGTCATGTCTCCAGGCCCCTCTGATATTACTCTTGCTATTTTAAGGTTTTATTCAAACAAAAAATAGAAGATTTACTGTTATGCAGACTACTGCAATATTGTAATAATTGTATAAATAATGTCAACCCATTCATGACTGCATATTAGAATGGCTAGTTGGACATTTATTGGACAATAACATCATTTATTTACTTTTGAACATTGGCAAATATTAAACATTTCCCCTACTTTGAGCTCCATTTCGAGGTTCTGTTCATAGTAAAACCAATCAAAATCACCTCTATTTCTATAATATGTTTTCCATTCTATCGAATGAGACCAAGAAAACGAGAATACAACCATAAATACCATACGAAAAATCACCACGAAGTCGGCCTTTTAATCCAAAAAAGCGGTCAGAGTTTTTTTTTCTCATGCACTGCATGCTGCAGGATTTTTTTATATGGTGCACACTGACCACACAGACCCATTCTCTCACATGTGGGCCTACCATCTTTCTCCTGCTTGATTTGAAGCCGCTAGAATTTTTGAATATATATACGTCAAACAGTGACTTGATCCCATGCCCATACGACCAAAACAGTCAAAGGGTTAAGAGGAATGTATCATCTTGCCAGAATGTCCCATAACCTATGCCCTAAGTAAAATGAAACAATTCTGGAACTGTAATTTTGGCAGACTGGTTGGCCAGCTGGCTAGGAGGAGGCTGGCTGGCAGCTGGCTGGCCAGCTGGCTGGTTGATTAGCTGTTTCTTTCTCCATTTGTCTGTCTGTATCTATGTCTTTCTATCTCTGTCTCTATCTCACAGGAATACATATGTAAATACAATTATTCATAGTGTAAATTACCTAGGATAACCCCAAAAATCCAGACAAAGTGCTATACTGTGCTTGTAGATAGTGATCATTTGTGATAGCTGGTTCATGAGCAGCTCTCTGAGACAGATAGATAGACAGACAGAGAGATAGATAGATAGACAGACATGTTTTTATGTTAGAGTTAAAGCAAATAAAGCCAAGGCTCGTCAAATGTCACCACTGTCATTAGCGGAGACATAAGATAAGACGATGCTCATTATATGCCACCACTCTCATTGGTGGAGAGATAAGACGATGCGCTCATCCAATGTCGCCACTGTCATTAGTGGGGTGATAAGATAAGACAATGCTCATTATTGTCAGCAGTGGAGTGAAGTGATAAGACAAGTGATACACTCTTACATCAAGCTTCTAGGGAACATATTATTATTATATACTCTCATGTATCCAAAATATTGCTGGGACCTATAAATACTATGTATATATTTCTAGACAATAGTATGTGACTAAGGTTGGTGAAAATGTTCACCTGTCACTGTGTTTATGACTATTTGAGCACTATTTCAGTACCTAATATTAGTGTCAGAAGAAAGATTAACTATGAAATCACAAGAACTACTACAAATTGTCATTATCACAACATAAAAATTATACAAATAAAAAAAACAAGAAAAAAGGTATATCAGCAACACATCTGCAAGTGGCAGGCTTCATGTTGGCGTCAGGTGAGTGACAAGTGCTGACTTTTCAGCCTTATATCTCTAAGTGCTGACTCTAGAATTTTTTTTCCTTACTTTATGTAAAAAAAAAATATCCTCTTCATTTAACTCTTCAACTGTCCAAACGTAGATCTACGTTTGCGCGCATAGTGCTCCTATCTTGATTTTCTCCATAAGAAGCAATGGACAAAAAACGTAGATCTACGTTCGGAGTGCTACACGAGCAAACATAGATCTACATTTAGACAGTTTAAGGGTTAACCCTCTCAGGGTCCCCAGGCCTGTTCCGAGACCTGTTTTCAGGGTCCCCAAATTTAAAAAAAAAAATTATTTTTTCTTATGAAAAGATAGAGAATTTTTCCCGATCATAATGACACCAAAAGTATGAAATTTGATGGAAAACTTACGGAATTATGCTCTCACGAAGTTAGCGGTCTCAATGATGTTTACGCATTGGTGATTTTGCCCACTTTGAGCCCTATTTTCGGCCAATTCCAGTGTGCTAGTCGACAAAAATCATAACTATTTCACTAGAACTCCATTTTTTTCTATCGAACGAGTACAAGAAACCACCCATTTACTGATTTCAACTATCCAATAAAGTGGTCAAAATTTAGCAATTTTGCCAGTTTCACACAAATTTCAAAAGATGCCAATTTCCGAATAGGATCCAGAATAAACACGAAAGACATTCCTGGCACTAAAATAACAAGTTCTCTGTTCGTTAGTCACATCCCCAGGCCCCTCTTATATTTCTTTGGCTTTCCACTTTGAATTTTTATTCTTACAAAAAATAGAAGATTTACTGTTATGCAGACTACTGCATTAGTGTAGAAATGGTATAAATAATATCAGCGCATTTGTGAAAGAATATTAGACTCACCAGTTGACGTGTATTCCTGCTACTTTGAGCTCAATTTCAAGGTACTTTTCATTGTAAGACCAGTCAAAATCATCTCAATTTCTGTAATATGTCTTCCATTCTATAAAATGAGACCAGGAAAACTAGAATACAACAATAAATACCATACGAAAATACAGTGCAAATTCGCCGTTTTAATCCAAAAACACGGTCAAAGTTTTTTTTTTCTCATTACGCACTGTGTGCTGCAGGATTTTTTTTATACTGCGCACACTGACCACATAGACCCATTCTTTCATATGTAGGCCTACCAGCTTTCTCTCAATAGATTTGAGGGCGCTAGAATTTAGGCATACTAGTACATCAAAAACCCTGGGGCGTAAGCCATACTAGTAAAGCTGAAACCCTGAAAGGGTTAAGAAAAAAAAAAGTTTTTTATTTTTCAAAATATTTGGAGCATTGGGTGAGAGAATGTAGATCTACGTTTGGACAGTTCAGAGTTTAAATTGGCAAAATTACCAATTTCTGATCACTTTATCGGTTAGTTGAAACAGTTGACTGGGCAATTTCTTGTGCTCAGTCGATATAATATAAGTAGTATTAGTGAAATAGCTTTGAATCTGGTCAACTAGAATAACGTAATTGGCCTGATATGGAAGGCAGAGTCAGCAAAATCGCCAATGCGTAAATATCGCTGA